GACCCACAACCTTTTTCAAAGCCTCAGTGACATTAGCCATCAGCTAAGATCAACTCATGACCTTTTGAAGCTTGCAGGTTGCTGAGCTTCCACCACTCTTTGGTCTGGACCTTCATCTGTCTCTGTTATGAGATGCTCCAGCACTCAGAATGAAGAGAGTTACATTTATACTGTATTTCACCATCCCACATAGCATTACTCACGGGTTGGTATTTTTACTGATTATAGGTAATTATAAGCTACAGGTTAACTATTGATAGTATTCCAGTCCACCAATCTAGCTAATCTTCTCTTAGTGTTTTCTGGAGACGCATCTGAAGAGTCTACATATCGTTTCATGTTTTTGTGGTCATTCTGGTCTGTTTTGTTGGTGTTTATCCCCCTGCAGGGCTGTATCTGCAGTAATGGTGATGAGACGAGTTCTATCAGAGCACAATCAGAGTTACAGCTCACCCACCAACATGGAGACGTGGGCCCAGTCCCATTTCTTATTCTTACCCCTACCCCTTGTTTTTAAGTGTCTCCTTACCCTTTGGAACTGAGTTACAGGGTAGTGGTTGAAATCTTCCTCTGAAATGGGACCCTCAAATAAAAAGAGCATCACTTCATTAACAGCTACCAGCGCTGCTCTGTAGGAGACCCTGCCAGTCTGCAGTGACAGCAGAGGAGGGTAAAGTTCAGCTCCTCACTGCTGGGCTTTAGTTACATTTAGGGCATCATATGATCTTCAAAGAGGGGGGGCAATTATTTATTATCACCCACCACTAATTCTTCAGTGATATGAAGCTGAACTCAGATATTCTCCAGATTCTTGTTCAAATATTCCAGTTCCACCTTAAATGGGTGCAGCAGTTACATTCTGGCACTTCAGGCGTCAGAACTGCTGCACCATTTAAGGTGGAACGGGAATTTAGCTAGCTAGCGAGACGTCAGCACTACTCAGGATTTTTTATGCTTGTTATGAAGAAAACGACCAAAATACACTGAAACAACGTTAAACTATGATAATTACGATGGTTATTGTGATTTTTAACAGAGAAAATTCTCACATTTGTGCTCCATCTTGCTTGTTTGGAGAGAGTCTCTGAAAAACCTCCGTTTGGAGGGTCATGTAGCCCTAACACTTCGCCCTACCCCTCTATCTCAACAAGAATCAGGACACCCTACCCCTAGATGTGAACGTGCAGAATGGAAGGGATAGGGCTGAGTGGTAGGGGTGGGGGTGAAAAGGGACTGGGTCTTTTTAATGACGCAGTAGAGTACTATGAACACTGTGGGGTGACAGAAAAATGCATCCCAAAGCAGACGGGCTGGAAACTGATTATTTTGGTCGTCCACTGATGTGCATAACATCATAACGAAGTAATCCAGACAGATTGACTATTTTTAAGCAGATGTCGAAGAACCGTCTTTGTTCACTGGGAAGAAAGTCTGTTAGAGACTATTTAACAACTCCACACAGTTTGAGGCAAGTGATCCAGGCACTCAGTTAGCACCATGCTAATTGGTGGGGTATAAGCTTCCATTAGCAGTTAGCTATGTTAGCCTCGTCAAACTAAAGCAGCAAACTTCAGACACCCAACATGTCCTGACTGATTGGCTACACTTAGGGAGGGGGGGGGGCTGTATATTTGATTTAATCTGATCTATTGCTTTAATCAGCCTATTAGCTCACTAAACCCCGACTACACAAATACAACAGAATGACTTTGTTTAAAATTCATACTGTGAGAACTTTTTACTTTGTTTTCCAAACTGGATCCCAGTGATATCTGGGCACGTTCTGCTCCTGAAGAGCTCGAGGACATGTGAGTGAGGACACGTGACCATGAGAACATAGAATTGTGTCCTGGAAAATGTGGGAATAAGGACATATAGGACCCTCAGAACATAGAAGCCTGGACAATATGCCATGGTCAGTGCTCTGTTCTACCATACTGTGCAGTTGGGGTTTAGTGAGGTGCTTCATTTGAGCTAACAGCCTGAAATTAAACAAAAGAGTGTATAATAATGGAAGTTTTCTCTATGTCAAAAAGCAAACTGCACCTGTTAGACAAGGAAAAAAACCTTACAATTTTCTCCATCTCTGTTTCTGACATAGTATGTCAAAATTTTGACTAAGTATCTCAAAATAAAGACATTTTCTTAAACCTCTGATTCAATCTGTTGAAATAATTTTAGTTTATTGAAATGACTGTCTCAAAATGCTGACTTAATTAGTAATAAAGACTTATTTTATCAAAATGTTCACTTACTTTATAGAAGTAACTTATTTTCTCTCAGCATGTCTTCCTTCTAAAAATCTGAATCGACATAATGATGACTTACTATGTCAAAAGTTTGTCAAACTGCTGCAAGAAGTAGAAAAACTGTGGGCTATTTTTTCTTCTTTAAATGTCAGAAACAGGCCTCCAGAGTTCGGAGGCTACAGTGAGTGTTATTTTTCCTGAGCTGCTCTCTGGTTTGGAGAACTTGCATCATGTTGCTGAATAGGTGCCAGTCAGACACGCAGCACCTACTTGTTTTCCGTTGTCCTTCCACAGGTGGAACGCTCCGATGGCTCCGAGCAGGATAAGTCCAGCTCCAGTGATGAGCACTGCCACTCCGGTTCTCCAGAGACAGCTGTTCCCGAGCGGCTTCAGGCCTGAACCCCCGCAAGCCTTACAGACACACAATGGACTTCAGACGTGGCTGGAATAAATGCTGACATAGTTGGAGGATATTCTCCTGCTAGGTGGTCTGATATTCTGCTAGGTGGTCTGATATTCTACTAGGTGGTCTGATATTCTGCTAGGTGGTCTGATATTCTACTAGGTGGTCTGATATTCTGCTAGGTGGTCTGCTAAGATTTTAGCAACTTACAGTAGGAGTCAGAAATTTGGACACACCTACTCATTGGAGAGCTTATCTTCACTTTCCCTGTTCACATTTGAGAATAACAGTGAAGGCACCACACATATGGAAATAAACAGGGACCAAAAAGTGTGAAAATATATTTTCCTCTTGATTAATTTAATAAATACTTGTCATACAACACATTATTCTACAATACCTCTTCGTATGTGAGTATATTTTTTTCTTCATTAAAATAGAATTCATTTTATGCATTTCTATCTCTCAAAGTTAAAAAATGTCAGGTGGTGTGACCGTCCAACCATAAATGCAGACTAAGTCAACTACTAGAAATGGTAAGTTAGCCATATACATTTCTAAATACTTCATAATTTGCATGTTTTTAATATCTTAAAATAATGCAGATGTAAAAATATTCAACTCAAAACATTCCCTCAAATGTCCTGCGGGACAACCAAGAACAAAGGACTTTTATTCTGACATGCTTTTAAGAACGCGTGGATTGTGTATTGCATCATGATGAAGACCCCAAATGACCTTCATGGTGCAATGCCGAGGTCAATGCTCCATCACAAATATAAAAAAATGGTCATTTTTGAGTAACATTGAGCCGGTTCAGTTTACCAAGTCAGGTGATGCAACCCTAAAAAAATCATGAGCATGTGTTGTGTGTAACCTTGAGTTCAAGGACAGGTGTCCAAGTACAAAGACTAGTTTATACACATTTTCAGGTGCCATAAATAACTTTAAAATATGATTTTTATTTATTAACATGTGGTTGCACCAACTGACTTTTTCTAGGTGGTAAAATTGACGATTTTGTTTAAAAATGAATTGATACCATAAATCATCTATTATATTAACTACATATTAACTATAACTGTCCTAATTAGTATTTTTGTTTAAATTTCAAAAGCCTTGCGTTTGACTTTTGTTTTGGGAAATAAATTCATACATAAGCATCAACTTTAAGATGAAAAACTCTTCATTTTGACCACTACTGTAGATATAAACTCTGACCACAAAGCAGAGGTCAGGCTTTGATTAAAAAATCCAAGCTGTAAGCTGGCAAAAGTAAACAAAGTCAACCTACTGGCGACAAGGCTCGCTCTACATCTCCGGGACCTTCAGGGGTTGTTGGAGTTTTCTCCAAGCCGTCTCCCATCGTGGAGCTCACCTGCTTCTCTGAGCGGAGTGGACTGAGCTGCATCTCAGGGCTTCTGTACAGGTGACGGAGTGCAAACCGCGACCTCACAGCAGACGTCCACCCAGTTCTTGCAAATGCCGCAGTCTGGCACTTCCTCGCAAAGTGATGTGAACGCCAGCAGGATTTTTCCACAGGAACTGTCTCTCTCACTCTCGCTGGCGCTGACCATCTCCTCGCAGGAGTGAGGGAGTGAAGCTCTATTGACCTTCTACTGAGACACATTTCAAAGCTTCACTTGAATTGAAAGGGAAGTCCACCAATTCTGTTGAATTTCTGGATAACTGAGTGTGTGAGATGTAAACACAGAGATCCAGAGTGGTTTGGTCTGAAATGGTTCAGATGTCTTTACAGTGGTGGTGATAGGAACCAGGGGTCGCCATGACTACAACACAGATATAGACACTTTATTTACTATCCAGAACCACCAGTGAACCTACACGAGTCTTCTGAGTTTATATGGAATGTTGATGATGGAAAATAGTGGAAAATCTGAAATAATAAGTTTTCTTTGGGGACTATTTTGCCTCACAGCGCCCTGCATGTATCCCTCCACCATGAATGGAGTTTAAGTTCTCTAAACTATCATAAAACAGTGTCTCAGTCATCAGGCAGTGAATTCATAACCATTTCATGTAGGAACTTTCTGTGAGGGAGCTTTTAGAGGTGGACGTCTGGTTCCTATCACCACCACTGTGAACAGTTCTGACTCGGTAAGTTTCTCTAGAACAGAGCGTTTCACACCAAACCGCTCTGAACGACATAATTAACGTCTTATCCATTTAATTAATGCACAAATATTGAAAAAACTGTACATTTTTCCTTCAATAAATGATCTGGATATGTCAATAAGACATGTACATATATGGGAGAACCAAAAAGCTGTTTGTTTTAATTGCCTCACACCTTTACGTCGTGCTCCAAGACAGCGCAGACCTTTCTTGAAAATCTTTATTTCTGAAACACAGTGACCAAATGTAATACAAATACAATCACATTTATTAATACGATGTCACCCACGTGACGTATCGAGGTCGACTGGAACTGGGGTTGTGTTCTAGCTAAAACATGCCATGAAAAATACCAAAACATTAAAAGTTCATATACCGTCGGTAAAAAATATACTCTCTATGTACAAAATGCCTTGTGTTCAGCCCAGGATACAAACACTGACCACAGACCACAACACCTAGCATAGTCATGCGTCCGCGAACCTCCCGGGACTGTTCGCTGGGATGGGCTTTGTCGAGTGCGTGAACGCTTCCATTTCCTCGCTGTCCTTTCTCCTCTGCGGCTGTGGAGAGCAGATGTGGATGTAGTCGCACTGGCTTTGCCGGCTCTCTGCCACGCTCTGCAGGGCCGCCGTCCTGGATGTTTGGCTCTCGTAGTAGACGGGTCCTTGCCGGCTGTTGAGTGGGGACGGTGCCGCCCTGGAGAAGGTGGACAGGTGTCGGGCGCCGCTGGGCCGAGCGGCTGACGGACTCCAGCATCTGTCTGAGTGACCCAGGATTCGGCACTCGCTGGTACACGCCCAGAGACCTGGATGAGATGGGACAAACACCCAGTCATTCCTGATTCGGGAAGTGTTTATTATGGATATGTGAGCTCCCATATGGACAAAATATATTCCAAATGTATTTATCAAATATATATGCAATGATGTGCAAATCGTTTAAACCCTATGTTTAATTGAAAATAGTACAAAGACAACATATCAAATGTTGAAACTGAGAAATTGTATTCTTTTTTGAAAATATATGCCCATTTTGAATTTGATGCCAACAGCACATTCCAAAAAAGTTGGGACGGGGCAACAAAAGACTGGTAAAGTTGTATAATGCACCTGGTTGTTGATTGGCAACAGATCAGTAACATGATTGGGTATAAAAGAGCATCTCAGAGAGGCGGAGTCTTTCAGAAGTAAAGATGAGGAGGGGTTCACCACACTGTGAAAGACTGCATAATCAAATAGTGCAACGATTCAAGAATAACGTTTCTCAACATAAAATAGCAAAGAACATCTGCTTTTCATCATCTACGGTACAAAATAACATTAAAAGATTCAGAGAATCTGGAGAAATCTCTGTATGTAAGGGACAAGGACAAAAACCAGTATTTGCTGGCTGTGATCTTTGGGCCCTCAGACAGCACTGCATTAAAAACAGACATGATTCTGTAGTGGAAATCACTGCATGGACTCAGAAACACTTCTGAAAAACACTGTCTGTGAAAACAGTTCATCACTGCATCCACAAATGCAAGTTAAAACTCTAAAACACAAAGAACAAACCACATATAAACAGGATCCAGAAACACTGCTGCCTTCTCTGGGCCTAAACTCATTTAAAATGGACTGAGGGGAAGTGGAAAAGTGTCCTGTGGTCTGACGAATCAACATTTGAAATTTTTTTTGGAAATCATGGACGCTGTGTCCTCCAGACTAAAGACCACTCAGCTTGTTATCAGTGCACAGTTCAAAAGCCAGTATTCATGATGGTATAGGGGGCATTAGTGCACATGGCATGGGTGACGTGCACATCTGTGAAGGCACCATTAATGCTGAATGATATATACATGTTTTGGCAACATATGCTGCATCCAGACGACGTCTTTTTCAGGGAAGGCCTTGATTATTTCAGCAGGACAATGTCAAACCACATTCTGCATGTATTACAGCAGCATTGCTCCAGGCACTAAACTGACCTGCCTGCAGTCCAGACCTGTCACCACTGAAAACATTTGGCACATTATGAAACAACAAAGGAGACCCTGAACTGATGAGCAGCTGAAATCCTGTATCAAACAAGAATGTGAAGACATTTCACTATCAAAACTACAGCAGTGTCTCCTCAGTTCCCAAACACTTACAGAGTGTTAAAGAAGAGGTGATGTTAAATTCCTCAGTTTCAACATTTGATATGTTGTCTTTGTACTGTTTTCAATTAAATACAGGGTTTAATTGATTTGCACATCATTGCATTTTGTTTTTATTTACATTTTGCACAGCGTCCCAACTTTTTGGAAACGGGGTTGTATTTGTAAAATGCAATTATTTCTATGTTATTTATATTTTTTCAGTTGTATGTAGTCTTGATAAAGGTTACAGATACAATACTTTTTTGCATGCTTCTAGGGTTCTTTACATCATGAAATGGTTCTTCAGATTGATGCTGTAGATGGTTCTATATAGAACCTTGTTGAAAAGCGTTCTTCTATTGTAATGAGCTTGACATCGTACACTAGAAGAACCCTTTTCATAAATGTTCTATATAGAACCATCGACACCATTCTCTACCAATCTGACTAACCATTTCATGATGTAAAGAACCTTTTAATCATGCAAAGGGTTCTTTGAGTGTTCATACTTATATATAGGACCATTTTCTTTACTAAAGAACCCTGAAGAACCATCATTTTTAAGAGTGTACTCGAAGTTGGTATATTTATTGATTTATTGACCTTTTTGGATGCAGATAAGACCGATGCATTATTGAAATTTGGTATTGAATAACACTGACTTTTTCGATACTTTAAGGTACTGAAGTAATTTTTGTCAGTACCAAAACTGCGTTTTTCCACTGGGCACTGCAGTTCGGTACGGTATGATTGTAAATCAGTAATCCCGCATTTTGTTGTCATTTCCACTGCGGAACGGATTCAGTGTGACTCATACAGTCTCCCTCTCTGAGACAGAAATGATCTCAACTCCCCTCATTTCAAAGTCACTTCCTCTCCTTCCTTTGTGCCTCTGTTTCATTTGCACTTGCCAAGCAGTGCTTTAGCATATTGAATGATGAGTCACCGCTGCCCCACTGACCCCTCCGCTAACAGATCGTCCACAGACGCACGGCCGGCCAAAAGCCCACACAGATAAAGCCTTCAGTCACCTCATGTCAAGGCCTCATCTTACCTCACTGTCCTCTGTCTGTAAGCACACTGAATATGTGTATATAGGCATAACATTATGACCACCTGCTTGTTTCTATGCTGATTGTCCATTTTATCAGCTCCACTTACTATATAGGTGCACTTTGTAGTTCTACAGTTACAGACTGTAGTCCATCTGTTTCTCTGCATAGTTTGTTAGCCCCCTTTTACCCTGTTCTTCAGTGGTCAGGACCCCCATGGGGTCACAGAGCAGGTACTATTTGGGTGGTGGGTCATTCTCAGCACTGCAGTAACACTGACGTGGTGGTGGTGTGTTAGTGTGTGTTGCGCTGGTCTGAGTGGATCAGACGCAGCACTGCTGCTGGAGTTTTTAAACACCTCAGTGTCGCTGCTGGACTGAGAATAGTCCACCAACCAAAAATATCCAGCCAACAGCGTCCTGTGGGCAGCGTCCTGTGACCACTGATGAAGGACTAGAGGATGACCAACACAAACTGTGCAGCAGCAGATGAGCTATCGCCTCTGACTTTACATCTACAAGGTGGACCGACAAGGTAGGAGTGTCTAATATAGTGGACAGTGAGTGGACACAGTGTTTAAAAACTCCAGCAGCACTGCTGTGTCTGATCCACTCAGACCAGCGCAACACACACTAACACACCACCACTACGTCAGTGTTACTGCAGTGCTGAGAATGATCCACCACCCAAATAGTACCTGCTCTGTGACCCCATGGGGGTCCTGACCACTGAAGAACAGGGTAAAAGGGGGCTAACAAAGTATCAGAGAAACAGATGGACTACAGTCTGTAACTGTAGAACTACAAAGTGCACCTATATAGTAAGTGGAGCTGATAAAATGGACAATGAGCGTAGAAACAAGGAGGTGGTCAGAATGTTATGCCTGATCGGTGTGTATATTTGCTGTTGGGACAAAATCTCCATTTTTCATTTTCTGACATAACTTGAAACAGGCAGTTGTCCTTTATGCTGTGTCAAAATTTTATGATGAATGGACCAACAGAAATGGTCTAAAATTACTTTGGAATAAATATTTCTGCTTTTACCTCCATTATTTATAAATGTAATAAACTTGACTTGCCACGTATGAAGAACAGCACTACAGAAGCTCACTGGCTTTTAACAGTGGAGTATCGAGGCCCACTCTCTCCTCTACGCCTGTAGTCTCTCAGGGCCAGATATGATGTTGTTTTGGGACAACCATGCAAAATTTTGGCTAAATTTAGGCTGGAACCTAGACTTATTAGGGTGGAAAAACTAAGGCCAGAAACATACACGAACACAAATGACAGCACTCGGCCAACACACTGCAAACGCTCGGTCCTTCTGTACAAACGCACTGTGCGCTCTTATGTTACTGGGGAGGTTGAAACACTACTACACAGTAATTGGTCATCAAGATGCTACAAAGCTGAGTCAGTATTATGGGGTATTTTTTTTTAAAACAGTGAAACAGTTATGAGTCCCAACTCTGGATCAGAGGCGGCGAGTATAAACGAGCTAGCAGGGCTAACGGTGCACATCCACTTGCAATTTCACCACACCGCAACTTATTCATATCAATGGAGAGCTCTGCTATGTTGTGTTCAGCCAATCCGATGACAGTACGCCCATTGTCATGAATGGCAAACATAACAGCGGCTTCACGGTTTCATAGAGAACTTTTGACCATGAAGATTTGTACGGAAGATGTTTGTTTGGATATGGGCTACATGATTTGAGCAGGAAACAAGGTTTAAAACAAACGGAGATCAGAAGTTATTTGGAAAGGTAGCTAGCTTGCTAGTAAGATTAAGCACGCAAACTTCCAAGCTTGTGTGGACAACTGATGCACTTTAGGAACATTATACATTATACAATATCAGATTGTTTACAAAACAGAAAGAACTCTAAAGGCCTATATATTAACTCTAAAGGCCTGTATATTAACTCTATAGGCCTATATATTAACTCTAAAGGCCTGTATATTAACCCTAAAGGCCTGTATATTAACTCTATAGGCCTGTATTTTAACTCTAGGGGCCTGTATGTTAACTCTAAGGGCCTGTATGTTAACTCTAAGGGCCTGTATGTTAACTCTAGAGGTATGTATGTTAACTCTAGAGGTATGTATGTTAGCTTTAGGGGCCTGTATGTTAAATCTAAGGGCCTGTATGTTAGCTCTAAGGGCCTGTATGTTAGCTCTAGGGGCCTGTATGTTAACTCTAAGGGCCTGTATGTTACCTCAAGGGGCCTGTATGTTAACTCTAAGGGCCTGCATGTTAGCTCTAGGGGCCTGTAGGTTAAATCTAAGGGCCTGTATGTTAGCTCTAGGGGCCTGTATGTTAACTCTAAGGGCCTGTATGTTAGCTCTAGGGGCCTGTAGATTAACATATACCTGCTATTTGGGTTAAGACTAACACTGGTTGCCAGCCAACATCAGGCCAACGCAGGCCCACCGTCCAGTATTGGCTGCCAGCCAATGTCAGGCCAGTGTAATAGTTGGCCCAGTATGATTTACCGATGTTATGCCAAAGTAATGCCGCTAAGCCAACATTGGGCAAATGTATACTTGCTATTTGGGTTAAGTCCTCCTTTTCTTTCAAAGAGAAAAGACATCAAAAATAAGTCTGATTATGTTAGACTTCTGTGGACCCGAGAACAACAGCGCCACCAAAAGGTCATAAGACAAAAACAAGTTAGCTCAGATGAAGGTGATTCACGTCTAGCACAAACTGTAGATTCACTCAGCCTATCTGCATTATATGTGTTATGACGTATTATATACTGATGCCCCCTTGATTATTTTACCATTTCGACTCACTGCAACTAGCTCCAGCTTCCCCCAGTCTGCAGTCGGTACTAGTTCTAATTCTAGGACTAGTTTTATGTCTGATTAGCTGAGCCAAGCTTGCCTTTGTACAATATTCATTACATACACATGAATATGAACTTTTTCATTTTGCTTACACAGAAAGTCTTTACATGGCACTGTTTGAAGCAGAAGAGTTTGTATGTGCTTCAGAAGAAGCCTGCATTCATCAACTGCAGCGATAATGCTAATCTCTGTTAGCGCCCTTAAGGAACTTGTACAGATGTGGCTCGAGTGAGTTAAACCCTCAGATGTACAGATGTGGCTCGAGTGAGGGGTTTTTTTAAACCCTCAAATCTAATATTATGACTTGTTCTCTCTCATTTAGTTTCCTCAAATTAGTTTTGATTTTGAATCTTATAGTTATTTGTCGTTTGTGTTAAGCCAGGAGCTGAATAGTCTGACCAGCTGACCTTTGTAAGATGAGTAGTCCTTTTTGGCTCCTTCTCCGCTTATGTCCGAGTCGCTGTCATTGATGTCACTGTCCCCTTTCCCGCTGTCCTTGCCGCTAATGTGCGGGTCACGGGCAGCAACGGTCACCATGGAGTTTCCCTTCCACACCGTAACCGGCCGTGTGCTCTCTTTGCCGTAGCCGGGCAGCGTGGAGTAGCCCTGAGGACAGACAGACGCTGATTTGGGATACATGAACCACTTTTGAACCCACATTCACTCATAAATAGGGCAGAACGATATGAATACAAATCTTATCACAGTATACTTTAGCATATCAATTGTTATCTATAGTTATACTGATACTGATTCTTATTATGGGGATGGAAAGTGGTCAGACTGCCCCCTGCTGTTTTTTTGCTCAAATTGTAGGTTAATAATGGATTGGAGGTGATGTACATTACATGTACAACATAACGTGCCATGTTGCCCCCATACTGAGTTATATTTGACACTATATCAATATTCCAAATAACTGGCTGACAGTAAAGGATAATAAACACAGTTTTTACGAGTGTTTCTCATCGCTAGAGCACCGCTCAAAGGGTTTAATTTGAATCTACACAGTTATGTTACTGTATAATAAAATAATAAAAATAGTAAAATTTTCTGCTATCATAATGTATTCATAGCTGCTGTGCTTGTTTAGATACAAAGTGACTGTTTCAGAAAAGTTCCAGCTTTAAATGATCTTCGATCTAAAATTTTAAAAAAAATCTCTAGGTAGAAATGAATGGAGATTCAAAATGTTTTGAATGCAACCAGCAGATGGCGTAGTGGTGCACGTCCCTCCATGTACGCATTTCCTAAAAACGAAACGACAAAAACAAAAAAAAAGTCTTTTCAGAGGTTTATGTGTTTATTTTCCCCCCAAATTCTCCTGAGACATTCCTCAAACTCACAACCTTTTCTGCTCTCCGTAATTCCAACCTTGAAAATAGCTAACGCTAGCTAACTCTGCTAACTGTCCCACTGGTTTGTGCTGTTGTGAGTGAACAGCTAGACTTCTTCTCCCTCCCGTCAAGAGAGTAAAAGACACCCAGCGTCACCTACTGTACTGAAACAGCAAAAGTTCAAGCTGCTGATGCTAATACCTGAAGAACAGAAGAGCATATTTTGGTTGTTCTACCATCGCAATCATGAAGCCATGAAAAAGAACTCAAAACAAAAACAAACACAGATAGTTGATTTCTGTTGTTTTGTTTACGTAAATTAACCATGAAAACCTTTAATTCTTAATCTCTTTTTTTAGTAATTTTAGTCATGTTGTGCATGAAAAACAGATGCTGATGTATTACTTTGATGCCAAACAACAATTTTGGTGCTTGTTTATCTGTTGAAATTGCAAAAATGCATCAAAATATTGTCTGTCTCATGTTAACATTATTACATATATATATATATATATATATATAGAGAGAGAGAGAGAGAGAGAGAGAGAGAGATAGATAGATAGATAGATAGATAGATAGATAGATATAGCCTTTTATTTTGATAAAAATTTGTTAATTATAAAAGGTCTCCAAATAAAGACTATCTCTGACAAGTTTGCACTGCATGGAATCTCATATTTTTCTTTTAGACATTTTACTTAAACATTTTGTATAATTTCTTTTATCCTGTTGATCATTTTGGATAAAATCCTGGCTTCATGTGTTGCAAAAAAGACTGTGTCAGTGGTGTTACTCAAGAAATATGCTTTAAAACTATAATATAATAACAAATAAAACTATAATACAATAACAAATAAACAATTTTTACAAAAGCTTAATGGCTGTCAGTGGTGTTACGGTCAGTGGTGTAACATGATTGATGTTCAATATAACAGACCATGTTCTACACTTGAATTACGTATCAACTTTCTTGCCACTGCGATGGTAGAATAACCCGTTATTTTATCAAAAATACCACAAATGACTTTACATTGACTCTAATGCAGCACAGCAGCCAATAACAGATAAATAATTCAATTACACGAAAATAGAAACCGCACTTACGTCCATTTGACCAACACCAGTCCTGTATTTTGATTTGTAGAGAATTGTGGCCTCGACGCCGTCCGAGCTCGCCTCCACACTGTTGTGTATCATTTCCGCCGATCCTGTAGTGACCCTGCCGGTCAGTGTGTGAGAGTCGAACACGTTGGCCGTCTGGTTGGATATGAGTGAGACGACGTTGTTTTCCTTCTCTGTGTAGGGTCGGTCTGCCGGGTCCGTCGTCTCCGCTGCTGCTCTCTTCCGGCTCTTTTTACGGGTGCAGAAGAAATATGCGGAGACACCAGCGAGCAGCAGGACAGAGGAGCCAGTCAGGGTGAAGACGAGGATGAATGCAGCCCAGCGCCCAGGGTCCTCCCGCTCTCCATCGCTGTAGTAGTTGTCGTTGGATGGGGCGCTCTCGGTGAGGGCGAAGCGGATGGTTGCTGTTGAAGTGAGTGATGGGATCCCGTTGTCGTTCACAGTGACGGTCACTCTTGGCTCCTCATCCATGTCGTAACTGACCTTCCGGCTCATGTATATCTCCCCTGTGTCCTGGTCAATGGAAAACCCAGAATCCGCGCCTTCAGCCAGTCTGTAGGTCAGCTGGGCATTGGAACCTGAGTCGGCATCCCTTGCCTTGATGCGAGTGACTACATACCCTGGCCCGGCATCCCTGGGCAGCAGAACCTCAGCCGATCCGTTCTGCAGGACAGGCTGTGTCACGGCTGGAGCGTTGTCATTCTGGTCAACCACATTGACCACCAGGACAGCACTGCTCTTGAGCTGTGGCCACCCTCGGTCGCTTGCCTGGACACGAAGCTCCAACCTGGGGGTGACCTCGTGGTTGAAGCTCTGCAGTGCATACACATGTCCTGCCTGGTTCATGATGGCGAAGCGGGACGGTGCATCGGTGTCGCTGTCCAGGAGATCATAGGTCACTTCCCCGTTTAGGCCAATGTCTGGATCACTGGCTACCACCGTGGTGATGTACGTTCCAGGCAGCTGGTTCTCCTCTATGAAGCCCTCATATGCTTTGGCGCCAAAAACTGGAGCGTTGTCGTTGACGTCCGTTACCTTGATGGTGTACTGGACCACGGTGCGCAGGGGTGGTGAGCCGAAGTCCTCAGCCACCACACTCAAGTTGTACTGGGCAATCTTTTCCCTGTCCAGCCCTCCTACGGTCACTATGGCGTAACTTCCCTCATAGGCGCGGCGCAGTCGGAAGTGCCCATGTGCCCCCTGCAGGGTGCAGGCCACACGCCCATTGTCGCCACTGTCTCGGTCAGAGATGGTCACCACGGCGACCAATGCATCAGGTCCTGCCCCCTCACTGACCCGTGCTGCACCGTCTGGCGCTGGGGCCACTGGAGCCACACTGACTTCGGGCCGGTTATCGTTGACGTCCTGCAGACGGACGATGACTTTGCAGGTGGTGGGCGGCGCTGGGATGGCGCCCAAATCGGCTGCCTGGACATCAATCTCATATGCCACCTGCTCCTCGAAGTCGACAGTGCTGCCTAGCGTCATGCGACCCGAGCGCCGGTCCAGCCGGAAAAGCCGCCGCACCTCTGTGCCCGCCTGCTTGCTGAAGTCGAACACCACCTGACCATTTGGACCCTGGTCCGGGTCAGTGGCGTGCAGTTGCAGCAGCAGGTGGCCAGGTACTGCATCCTCAGGCAGCTCCACCGTGTACAGTGGGCGCTCGAAGGCCGGGCTGTTGTCATTGGAGTCCAACACCCTGACCGTAAGGTTGGTGGAGCCAGTGCGGGGTGGCCGGCCACCATCTGCCGCCTCCAGCTGCAGCACATGTACATCCTGCATTTCGCGGTCCAGCGGCCTGACCAGCACCAGCTCCGCGTACCGCACCCCGTCCACCCGGGTCACAGTCTCCACGGCGAAGTGCCCGCTGGCCGACAGACGGTAGCTCTGGACTGAGTTGGTGCCCGAGTCTGGATCGTGGGCAGGGTCTACGGGCAGCCGTGTGCCCAGCGGGGCAGCCTCAGAAACTTCCAGCGCGAGCTCCGCGCTCGGAAACGCGGGGGCGTGGTCGTTCACGTCCAGCACCTCCACCTCCACGCGCAGCAGCTCGAAACGCTCGCCCGACACGAGCGCCACGTCCAGCGCAAGGACGCAACGTGCGCTCCTCTTGCACAGCGCCTCTCGGTCCACGCGCTCCGTCAACATGAGCGCACCGTCACTCTCGGACACGCGCAGGAACGGCAGTGCTGCGCTCACGAGCCTGAAGGAGGTGGTGCGCGCGCCGGCAGTGGCGTTGGAGAGAGAACCGATGCGCGCGGGCGGACGCAGTTCCTCGCGCATCTCGAACCGGACCGCGCGCTGCTCCGAGACCGCGCGCCGCGCGCACAACAGCAGCAGCAGCAGCGCCGCAATAAGCGGGACCTCCATCCGAACCACGAGAGAGGAATCAGAGCGCGAGAGAGGAGTCCGGGCTGTCCGCGCGCAGGCAGGAGACTAATGTACGCACATACACTATTACTCTCTCTCTCTGTCTCTCTTTCTCTGTCTCTCTTTCTCTCTCTCTCTCTCTCTCGCGCGCGCACGCTCTCTCTTCGCTTTTCTCTCACTGTTTCGCTCTCTCCTCTCTCTCTCTCTCCCCCTCTCTCTCCCTCTCTCCCTCCCCCTCTCTCTCTCTCTCTCTCTCTCTCTTCACTCCCTCTCTCCCTCTCCCTCTATTTTCTCTCACTCTCCCCCTCGCTTTCTCTTTCTGTGTTTCACTCTCCCCTTTCTCTGCGCCTCTCTCTCTCCCTCTCTCTCTCTCTCTCTCAGTCGCTCACTCTTTTTGGCCCCGCCCCTGCCTCCCTTATCGGGGAAATTATTCTAATATATATTCTAATAAATGGGGCGTGGCCTACTCTTTTACTCCGCCTCACATTCAGACTTCAAAATGAGGAGAGAGGTGACCACACACACACACACACACACACACATTGCCCCTCTGTTCAGGTGTTTCTGTGTAGAAGAGCAGAACGGTGGAACCGACTGAAAGACCCTTTAAGGAGGATGTGGTTCTAGAGCAGCATCAGTCACACTAATAATCCTCATATTAACATTTAACAGCTTTAATATTTCAACAGTATGAGACGGCACTTGTTAGTCCAGCAGTCCAAATGGACATCTCTGATCATCTCTGATCAGACTGACCAAGTCCATACACGCAGAACCGAGACTATATAACTCCTGACCAGTCCACACAGTGACCCATAACTGGACCCACATATGGTCCACTGGATTGGAAATAGAGGGAACTAATAGGACTGGACACTATACTGTTTATTAATCGTTATAGTGGTGACAGTAGCCTTTGTACTCATTTCACAGAAGGCTGTAATGTGCAAATGAGCTTCTAACCAATCACAGTATGTAGCGAGCATCCTGACCAATCATAGTCCAGATGAGTTTCTGTGGGTGTTTAAGTGAGTCAACATGAGATCAAACGAAGGGAAATTGTTTAAAGCTAGAAAATGCATTTCCTGAAGAGCATGAAAAGAGATTACACAGCTTAGGCAATTCCCAGGTGGTTACTAGCATGCTGCTAAGTGGTTGCTATGGTATCCCAGGTGGTTGCGCGGGTGTTGCTAACTGTTTGCCATAGTATCCCCTTATGGTTGCTAGGGTGTTGGTAGGCGTTTGCAGTGGCACCCACCTACCAACACTGGAATACCATAGCAACCTGTTAGGGTCTTGCTAACAGGTTGCTATGGTATTCCAGATGGTTGCTAGGGAGTTGGTAGGTGGTTGCTGTGGCATCTCAGGTGGTTGTTAGGCTGTTGCTAACTGTTTCCTAAGGTATCCCAAGTGGCTGTTAGGGTGTTGCTAGCAAGTTGCTCTGGTATCCCAGGTGGTTGCTAGGATGTTGCTAACAGGTTGCAATGGTATCCCAGGTAGTTGCTAAGTTGTTGCTTGGTGGTTGCTAAAGTGTTGCTAGGATTCTTGTATCATGGTGATATAAGTGGTGTGCACAAACTTTTGCCCGCATTGTTCTGCCATTCATTCCTTTGGGAAAAAAGGATTCCTGTGTTATCCCAGATGGTTGGTACAGTGTGTCTATCTGGTTGCTATGGTATCCCAGGTGGCTGCTAGGGTGTCGCTAGGTGTTTGAGTGGTCGGTAGGGTGTTGCTAGTCACCCTTAAAAAGATGGTTCCTCAAGGCTTCTTTAGCAAAGAAAATGGTTCTATGATTAAATGGCTCTTTGCATGGTGAAATGGTTCTTCAGATTGATGGAGAATGTCTTGTAGATGGTTCTATATAGAACATTTTTGAAAAGGGTTCCATGTAGCACCTAAAAAGGTTCTTCTGTGGTATCTAACTTGACATTACAACAATGGAAGAACCCTTTTGGTACTATATGGAACCCTTTCTAAAAGGTTCTATATAGAACCATATAAAACATATTTTCCAACAATCTGAATGCTTTTGCGATGCAAAGAACCCTTAAATCATGCAAAGGGTTCTTTGAGTGTTCATGGTTCTATATACTTTACTAAAGAACCTTTGATAAACCATCGTTTTTAAGAGTGTTTCTGCATCATGGTGAAGCACAAACAGCAAAAGCTGCTATATAGAAACTGTAGTCTAATCATAAAGCTGTGTACAAGAACTCCAGCTCTTCTCTACACATTGCGAGAGCACTTCATGATGAATGGACCAATAGAAATGCTCCAAAATGGTCAAATTACATTAATGTACATTAAAGTTCAGTTCTTTATTGCGTTATACGACGTGTTTTAAGGCACATCACAATCACGGTATCTAGCACTATAATCTCAGTACTGGTATTTGGTCCATATCATGCAGCTCCAGTAGCCACACATGTGGTCCCCCTTAAATCACCTCACCCACACACACCTCAGCATATCTAACGCTGCCAATTACCTTCTCTGTTTCTTTGAAAGTTCCCGGCAAGTCTTTGTGCGGCCTCAGATGAATGCCAGCCGCAGAAAAAGAGGCTTCGGAGAGGGAAAAAAAGAGTGGAAGCGTTTGAGGGAAGTTGGGGATTTGAAATTTACAGTTAGCTCACAGACATAATTCCATTTTTAATGGGTTTCTAAATGCATTCAGTTTCAGGGGATATCTTTGCATTTTCAAGTTTTGCTAATCACTTCAGTCCATAATGTGCCTCGAGAAACACCACGATAATCTAAACTCTCTCTCTCTCTCTCTCTCTCTCTCTCTCTCTCTCTCTCTCTCTCTCTCTGCCGGCAGTCGGCCCCCAGAAAAGATTAGAAATCAGAAGTGAATTATACAGTAGCGCTGCCCCAGTTGGCTGATTAGCGGTCTCGTGGGAGATGCCTTTAAGATTCTTTTTGAGTTGGCGGACGGCTCGCTCCCACAGAGTCACCTTTTGTGAACCGCATTAAAATTCGGCGCGTCCAGGCGAGATCCTGGATGAATGGCACCGATCTCAGGAGCCCACGCTTCAAATTAGACCCAGAGAAAAGGAGAGCCGTCTTATCCGTTAAACACTGCTAATGCCGTCAGACAGCGTGTGCAGTGTTCAGTGTCATTAATCAATTTAGTGTTAACCCTTTATTTAAGATAAAGTACTTACAGGATTCATTACTGATGTTATGAAACGTCTTAAAGCGATAATGTGGCTAAAAATGTACGCTGGAGCTATGAGGGGGATCGTCGCTGCTCCCAGGGCTCCATTTTTCAGCCCCATAGTTCAACAATGTTTCCTTCTGTTTTCTCTGATATTTTAACAAATGTACATATTCTGATGTTGTATGTTCAGTGAATAATCTGAAATCGGGTTCTGGACATGCTGCTTTCAAATAGTTTCTCCTAACTAAAAACATAAAAAACTTGGTTGTACGTTTCATTGAACAAGAATGCAAATGATAAAAAATCATATAAATGGGTAATTTTACAGAAACGTCCGTTTTTGTGCCCCTAGCGCTTACAGATATATTACACTTTAAAAACATGTTAGTGTTACAATTCATTCATATTTTAAAATAAAACAATGTTATTTTAACAGTTACACCTTCTTGAGCCTCAATTTAGCAATATTGATTTTTATATCAATCATACAGAACTCCAAGCACCACAGAAGAGCTCGTCCTCAGAGTCATGTGTGAAGGCTGAGGACATATTTTGAGGTTAAAACATGTTTTTCTGCAATTTTAACTACAATAATCTATACATGACTATGACATATATGAATTAAATGATAAAGAAAACAAATGGCAAATAAATGTTATAAAATATATAATGAAAGTTGTCCCCAGGAGTCGTGTCACTGGTGTGACTGCCTAACAAAAATCTCTTATTTTGAAATAAAAGTCACACTGATGACATCACTTGACTTCCTTTTACCTGTTTTCTGAGGATCTATGAAGAAAAGCTCATGGTGAGTCCACTGTGTCTTTCAGTTATCAGAGATTTTCTCATTTAGCTCATGATTTCATATGAAGCTTTTAGCTGAAGTCACTGGTGTGACCGACTTTATTCTGAGATAACTGTGAAAAAATAGAACACAAATGGATTAAATTCCATATTTTAGTGGATATTCCATGATTGACAACATGTGGTTTGATGCTCTGTAGCAGTTATTCTGTAAAATGCATTGTTCATTAAAAATGTCTCTGGTGTTTCCTTTATTATGTGGAACACCAGTGAGGATCAGTAACACCAGTGACTCCTATGGAGAGATAGAAAAGTGGACGTTTCTGTAGAATGACCCAAATAAATCGTATAAATAAATGTGTGGCCATGCCTTATTAACGTGTGGGAATAAAATCCTAATGTGTAGCCACAACTTAGTAAGGCATGGGAACAAGATAATGTTCCTTACTAAGTCATGGCCACTCATTAGGATCTCGATCCCACACCTTACTAAGTCGTGACCACGACTTAAATATCTTGTTCCCATGCCTTGATTTTATTTATGCAGGATGTCACCTATGGGGCTCCATACAAATCTATACAGTGGTTATTATTTTATGCACGATTTTGTTCTTCACTTCACAATATCAGCAGCATTGCAGAATTACATTTTAAAACTATTACATTTTCCCATCTGGGTACCACTTTAGAATAATACTACCTTTCTACAGGTTCATGAATGGTTTAAAATGAGTTTAATAAATGGTTATTGGGTCATAAAGACCTTAAAATCATTAATAAGCATTTACAACACATTAAAAAAGGGCCACAGTGGCCTGTTGTTTGCCTTATAGTGAATGCTCAGTGATTTATACCGTTAAACCTTTTTTACTGATCTTACTGTGTCTTTTTCATCAGTCAGAAATAAATCTATAAGCTTAATCATGTATGCATATTCATTAGATATAACTTCTCACATCTGGCCTTTTTATTAATGTGTTATAACCGCTTATTAATGATTTTTAAAGTGTTTATGATCTTATAACCATGAACAAAC